TGACTTGTGTCAACAAGACCAAATTTCTCAACACTATCATTTACCATTATTTTTAATTATGTTATAAGCATCTTCTAATAAGTACCCCGTTTGAACATCTTCACATAATAAATGTTTTATATCGTCACTATGTTTTTTCTTTAAACTTCTTAATAACATTTTCTTATGAAATGGATTTATTTCTTCATGCAAAATTATTTTATCATTTAAAATATTTTTTAAAATAAAAATCAGATTTTTAAATATATTCTTATTTTTAATTAATTTTATTCTATTTTCTACTCTAGAATTAATAAATAATTTCAAACTTGGAATAATGTTATTTTTTTCACTTTTTTTCTTTTGTTTTGAAAATTCGACTAATTTGACAATTGCTTTTAAAACCTCTTCATTTAAAATATTTTCTTCACCATCATCATCTTCATCATCATTATCGTTATCATCATCAAATTCATACTCATCATCATCATCATCAGAATCAAATTTTTCTTCATCAAATTTATTTTTTTCTTTAATTAAATTCTCTTCGTCTTTAACAATTTTTTCCACATTTTCTTTATTATCTTCATTTTCCATATCATATTTTCCCCATTCATTTACATTTTCTTTATCATCCATTATAAATAAGTAGGGTTTATTACTGGATCAACGTGTATAATTTGTTTTTTTAATGGAAAATCAATATCGATTACTTTTAAAGTTTTTCTTTTTAAATTTTTTTTCTTTCTCTTTAATTTATATAATTTTTTTGTTCTTCTCATGTTGAATACACAACAATAATAACAAAATTAAAATCGATATTCAAAATATATAGGGATTTTATATCCATAATTCATTTGATTTCTAAATTCTCCAAAAAATATCATCGTATGTGCTTCAGTTAATGCATTTTTTAAATTAATATCAAATCCGAAATCCCCTGTATTCTGACCCGATAAAACTTCGGTGAAACTATCTTGATTAGGAGATAAATCAAATCCGATAATTCCACATTCAGACTTAAATCGTGCGTAATCAAAATTCATTTTTTCATTTTTTTTATTTAAAATTTTCTTTAAATTCCAATATGCTTCTTTTCGACCGTAATACTCATGTGTTACTGCACGGTTAGTACGTGCACAACAATAACGGAAATTCAATAAATTATATAAGTGACAATTGAGTTGATGTGATCCATTAAATCTTGTTGTTTTTTGAAAAACTATAAAAACTCTTGATGGTACACCCCCAGTGAATACATCATAACAGTTGATTGCTTGGGATCCAATAGGAAGAGTTTTTGTAACAACTCTCATATTATTTATAAAATAATGACACTCTTTATTTTCTTGTATCAGTTTATTATTTATGGCTTTACTCAATTGTTCATTTGGTTTAAACATTCTAGTATTTATTTTAAAATCTTTAAGATGAATATCATAATTTTGGGGATTAGCAGCAGCTAATCCCATCAAATAATTTGTTTTATCTGCTCTGCTCTTCCTCAACTTTACCTCATAATTTACGCTTCAACTGAAGTTTTTAAAACTGTCTTCGGATCCCCTACTCGCAACAAACTTCACCATCTTTAGCAATCAATATCCTGGTATGTTCCCTGGTCCATGCAATGGTAATTAGTCACTATGTATACCTGTTTTAGCTTCAAAAGCTAGAATATAATCACAAAAAATCTTGTGAATATTGATTTCTAATAACTTTTGGTTTCTCCCTTCAGGAATGCATTCTATCAAAATATGATCTAGAATATGATCAACTCTCAGTGGAAACTTGTGCTCCATCAGTGGTAAATAATGGTTCAATAACAATTCTGTTTTAGTGCAACTCAGTCAAAACCCCATGTAGCCCAAGACCAGATATTAATTTGGTCGGTTATGGCTAGAGTTTTCGACACATTACTTTCAGAGCTATTGCAGCATTTCCAAAGCCATCTTTACATTTTTGAATTTGCCTAATTATCTCGTTGCTTTTTCTCTTGACTCCTTAGAAGAAATACCACAATAACCAATTACTTGCAAAACATTCATCATCTAGTCTTCTTCCAGAAATGCAACCAAATCATCATCGTTTGCAGAAGACTTGATTTGTAAAATTTTTTATTCAGAGATATTCACTTTAATACACTAACAGAGATGCAGGTTATATGCAATTTAAAAATCATACCTTTTCAACAGTCATTTTAATTGTGTCAACTGTCCACACAAGTTGTGTGTATGTACACTTAATAATCTCCAAAATACCTGGGTGTGACTTTAGATCGCTCGCTAACATACAAACAGCACATTGAAAACACTGCCACAAAACTGCGAAAACGAAATGGCATAATTAAAAAACTGGCAGGAACATCGTTGGGCACCACTCCAACAGTACTTAGGACATCATCTCTTGCCCTATCATACAGTGTTGCAGAATATTGTGCTCCAGTTTGGTCTCGCTCTAAACACATCAATAAGTTAGATGTATTGCTAAATGACACAATGCGAACAATTTCCGGAACATTAAAATCAACCCCAACCTCTTGGCTACCTGTAATGAGTGCTATAGCTCCACCTAACATACGCAGACAGGAAGCAACACAGAAACAACATCATCCCATTGAAAATACACTAATTGACACTCCACTAAAAACCATTATCCAGTCTGCCCCAACTACTTCGAGACTTAAATCACGAAAACCTTTTTATAACTCCAAGATTGAATCGTTTGACCTCAACAATGCATGGAAGGAACAATGGTCCATAAATAAACCAAAGGGTGCTGACCTAATTAAAGATCCCACAAATGTCCCTCTTCCTGGTTTCAAGAAGCTAACTCGTAAACAATGGAGCGCTTGTAACCGAATAAGATAAAAACAGGGCAGAACAGCTAACAACCTATACCGATGGGGCTACAAAGACTCGCCAACTTGCCCATCATGTAACGCCACCAACCAGAATATGGACCATATCATCCTGCAATGTCCGTTCACACGCATTGACGGCGGCTACACAACAGTGCATAAAGCGGATGATGACTTCACAAGCTGGCTTGATGAGACACACATGGAGGTGTGACCATAGGAAACTACTACTACCTTTTTTGCAACTGCATGGCCACAATTATTACAGAAACTTCCGCCTTGTGATATATTAGTACCAAAACCCAATTTTGGCAATACAAATACAAATTAGTGATAATACATATAAAATTCCTTTGCTGAAAGAGCAAATTGTCTGAGTGATGATTTCTTTAAAATTATACAATCAATCGTCGTCATACCTGTGACTCTTATCCGCCAAGATTCTCAAACCTTTGATCAATATTCGGAATATCGCTTACTCCAGACCCAGACTTAAACTTTTGTTTTGAAAGATAACGAGAAAATGCAGTACGAATAGTCTTGTATCTCCTTTCCACTTCTGTTGTAGTTTCTAGCAATTCAGCTATTCGTTGCCAGCAGTTAGGTTTCTTTCGTTTGTCACGAAAACCGTTTGTTCGCTTGTCGTATATCGTGGGAAATTCACGAATAATTTCCATAAAGCTTCTATCATCGTCCTTTGCTTTAACAGCAAGAATATTTAATGCTTGCACTGAATCGAAGTCTGATTCTTCGTCATTTTCAAAAGCAGCCATGTTGGAATAAGATTATGGAAAGTTGTCGGTAATGATCGGCGATGATCGCAAGAAACAAACCGTTTTGTTTCTTGCGATGGCAGCGCCGACGCTCGGCGACATAAATTTTAACGCGTTCTCATTAATATTAGGGAGTTTACGTTCCACTGTTTTTCGCGACGGCGACGTCTTGTGTTTCACAACGCCGGCGCAAGCGTATTTTTAGTTTACGCAAATTTACAACGTCGCCTCCGCGGAAGAATAATTGGCGGGAATATAAATCAGAAAACATTGCTTTCAAAAACATTCAAAAGCAAAGAATGCCGAAGTGGAGAGCAATTCGAGAGCGTCTTTTTATGTCTTATTCGGATCAATCAATCGACGACGAAGAATTTATTTTGCTTTACAACTTATATACTGCTAAAAGTCCGGATTTGCCTTATTGGAAATACGAAGAATTTGATTTAGATAAATTAAGCGACGAGTGTAAAGCAGAATTTCGGTTTATGAAATCACACATTTATACTCTTGTGGATGCTTTGAGGCTACCACAATTTATTACGTGTTATAACGGCCTTAAGGTTGATAGAGTTGAGGCATTTTGCATATTTTTGAAACGTTTTGCCTACCCTTGTCGATACCTGGATATGTTGCCAAGATTTGGTAGACCAGTCCCTCAACTCTGTATGATCAGTAATGCTGTCATAAACTTTTTATACATGGAGTGGAACCGTTTGCTGTTAACATTTGATCAACCATGGTTATCTTCAGGCAACATTCAAGAATTTTGTAATGCAGTGTTTCAGAAGAGTGGTGCCTTAGAAAATTGTTTTGGTTTTGTCGATGGGACAGTACGTCCAATTTCTAAACCTGGTCAAAATCAAAGAGTTCTTTATAATGGCCATAAAAGAGTTCATGCCATAAAATTTCAGTCAGTTGCTGTTCCAAATGGTCTTGTGGCTAATCTCTTTGGTCCTGTGGAGGGTAGACGCCATGACAGCGCAATGCTTGCCCAATCCAGTTTATATAACAAGCTTCAGCAGCTGGATCATTTGAACAACGAAACTCCTGTTTGCATTTATGGTGACCCTGCTTATCCTCATCGACCTCAACTACAATGCCCATTTAAAGGAGCAAGAATAACTCCTCAACAGCAACAATGGAACAAAGCAATGAGCAGTGTAAGAGTGTCTGTCGAATGGATTTTGGGGACATAGTTAATTATTTTAAATTTCTTGACTTCAAAAGAACCTAAAAATACAACTTAGTGCAGTAGGGAAAATGTACACTTGTTGTACCTTACTTCATAATGCAAGATGCTGTTTTATGGGTCTACAACCTCACAGTTTTTGGACTTCAACCTCCATCTATACATGAATATTTTGTGTAAAAGTTCAAAATATTCAATTTTATCAAGTTGACTAATTGTTTAATGTACAGAGTTAAGTCATCAGGAACATTTTTTAACATCACTCTAATATACTCTTGTTATGGATAACTTTATGAATGTTTCATCTATAATATCAATAACAGTAAATTGTATATGTGAAAAAAGTTTGGTCTACTCTCAAGCAAAAATATATGCACTGTTTTAATAAAACATTTCAGTCTTTTTTAACAATATTCTGCATCAATGTTAGTAAAGCAGTGTTTTGAAGTTGCAGTTGATGCATTAGTTGCTCTTGCTGCTTTTGCTGAGCAGCAATGCTGTCAGTTAAAGCTTTAGTGAGAGCTTCCTGTTGAGAAATGATGTTGTTTTGTTGTTGTTTTCTTTCATCAGCTTCAGCTTTTTTCAACATCAATTCTTCTCTTTAAGTTCTGCATCAACTTTTGACTTTTGTTGTAAATAGGCAATGATTTCACTTCCATTGGATGACATTCTTCTTTTAGGTTTTTCACCATCTTTACTTTGAGATTTTCTTTTGTAAGTTTCAGCTAATGTTTCCATTGACTGTTGTCTCATTTCCACAGCCTTTTCTACTTCTGCAACAGAGTTTTGTTTTTGTTTCTCTTCCAAAATTTTCTCTTCTTCATCTCTATTTCTGAACATTTGAATAATTTCCTCAATGGAAGTTTCTACTGCAGATGGCTCTGGAGAGATCCCAGAAGCTTTTTCCTCCTCTCTTAATCTTTTCTTTTGTTGTTTTTGAAGTAAAGTGTAGTGGTCTCGAACAGACTTTTGCGTCACGTTAAACTTTGGGCTATCCATATCATTTAAGGAATCACTGATCATTTCCCATGCATTACCTCGTTGCTGTGATCCTTTTTTGAAGTTCCATGGTTGGAATAAATACATTTCACGAACTAGAATTTCATTATGTTCATTTGTCCAAGTCATTGCTTTTTTGCTAAAATTACAAAAATAATTAAGAATGCAAAGAAAACCAAACAAATAAACTAATTATAAATATATAATATTTATATAAAAATATAATAAAATATTAGTTGAGTTGTAATACTTGAAAAAAACAATCGATTTAGTACTCTGTGTGTTAAATAATTTACCCTTATCTCAGTACAAACTGAACATAACAATAACTTATTGCTAAAAAAGGCTTTAAACACTTAAAACTCTTCGATTCCTACCTTTTTGTGTTTTGATGTTCATCCGCCATCTTGAACATGCAGGACGCGTCCAAAGAAGACGATTTCACGGCGTCGTTGCCAAAGGAAGCAGCCAAAATGTTAAGAAGCATGCGCACTAGCATTAACTCCCGGCGTCGTCGTCAAAATGTGAAGTTTCGTAAACTCTCTATTAAGCGCTCGCCGACGTCGCAAAAGCTCTATCGCCGACGTTTTGCGATGAATGAGAACTAGGCTTAAAAAGTAAAAATAAGTAAACTACGGTGTAATGAAACTTTAATTGATGAGTTATATAATAATATATCACCTTTTTCTCACCTTACTTCTTTAGGTAAGTAACTCTTGGACGTTTTCGTCAATGATGTGTTAAATGTTTTCTGGTAACAATCTTATTTGCATACGTACATTAATTTACATTTGATATACATATTTCTTACAAGTTACCACATACCATTTTGTTACTAATATGATACGCATCAATCACACGTATGTACTGTTATAAATATCGTTTGCAAGTGAAGAATTATTAGTTTTGTTTTTATTAGTTTTCTAAAATTTTGTTATTATTTACGTTTTCACAAATCTGGCAAAACCATTCTTCGTTTTCTTCGACAATCTTAACACAGTTCCTGTAAATTCAGAATTAAAATAAATGCTACCATTTTATGAAGTTTGGGGCTTTTATTGTTTAATATACACCAGAAAAATTTGAGCAAAGTCTGGAAATGCTGAGCCATTTGGCCATGGTATTAATTACTTGCTTTGTATATTTTGATATTAATTACTTGCTTGATGTGTGTGAGGCTGTAACAAAGTGCTTCAGCTGGTGGTTGTACATCATCAACAATGTCATTTGCTGTCAGTAATATCTTCAATGAGATTGCTCTCTTAATTACTATTTGAGAAACCCCAAAACCTTCAAGTTGTTCCCTAACCAAATCTGTAAAATACCAAACATATCATAAGTACAATTGCAGGTAATCCTCACAGGTTTCAATTCCAAGCACTCATTCTTAGGCACATGCATCCTACTTACCATTCTTTTTAGGTGCAAATAGTGATCCGATATCATCTTTTGTTGGCTTGGCAAAGCACTTTGTTTGTTTTTCTTTTCTTTGTTGACTTGAATCTGTTCTGCTTGTTTATACATTTATAGGCAGGTGAACTTGTGACAAACTTCAGTTGTGGATCCCTTCATCGAAATGAATAAGTGTTTTCCAGCTGTTAATTTTTTATTTAAAGTTTTTAGCGCCTCATTATTTTCACAATCATTAAGTTGGTCCATCATAACTAAGAGCTGCTGTTTAGTAGCTTCTTTAAGTGTTCTGCTCAGGTTGTCTTTGGTGTTGTCTCTCTGTTGAAGGTGAAATGTGACTAGTTTAACCTCCCTCTCCTTATAGTCTGAGTAAGCATACTGGGGAACTGTCAGGTCACCAGGTATTTCTTGTGCTTGATTTTCCATAGCAGTCAGATACCTTTGTGAAAGATGCACATGTTTGCAAATAGGGTTGTGTATCAAACTGCCTGGACAATTACATATAAATTGGTGGATACAGATTTTACATTCTTCGCATTATATTTGACAGGTGCTATCCATGCAGTAATCAGCTTGCTTTATTACTGTACATGAAATTCCATCAGTGTTTGCTATTTTCCATCTAAGTTCACCATCTTCTGAAACTGCATCTATAGACAGTCCTTTACTTTTGTTGTGGCATTCACAAATCACTTTGGTTTTGGAACTTGATTTTCCTTTTGTTAATTTGGTTACTCTCTCAAAAGCCTTGTCTCTACTATATTGCATTAGACCTATCAAACAATTATCTACTCTTCTGTTACTTTTTCCCTTAAGATAATTGTACTTAAACACCCTATGAAAAGCTTTTACGGCCATGTTTGTGTTAATTCCCATACCCATGCGATAGCAATGAGCCCAGCTCTCACTTTGGCCTATTGCTATCATCCTTAGTTAGATTTTGTATTTCAGTTGGGTCATCTCCTGGAAATTTAGTGAATAAAATTGTATCGCTTTCACTGTTGCTCCATTTATGCACCAATGAACATACACTTTTCTGATTGTTTGTATGTCTTTGTACATCACCTACTCCAACAAATATCTTAATGTTGTTAAGATCTTTTTTTTGAAGCAGGTGATGACATTTGAACTCCTTGTCAGACTCTTTAATGGCTTCATCCCTGATGTTGTTTAATATTTTTTCTCTACCTACATCTTGCTGAGACAAGCAGCAATGTCTTCTCTCTTTCCTTTAGTAAGCCAAGTATGTTGCACCTCTGTTTTGTGTCCATGATGAGTATGACATACCTCAGCCAATATATTTCCATCCCTGTTTTTCGTAATTTTAATTCCTGCAGTGCAATTTTCTTGCATTTTACAACTCCCTGAAAAAAATTCTCAACTGTCATAAAATGTACATAATACAATTGAAAATATACATGTGTAGTACATTTTTTCACCTAGCAACTTTGTGCATCTTTTTCCATTTCCTCGTGGGACATACAAACCACTTCGGTTACACTGGTAATTTTGTGTTGTGTTTTTCACGCCATTTTATTTAGTAAAAGAGCATACGTGTTCTTCCAATTTGTCTTTCCATTGCTCAAATGCTAAAATAAAATGAGATAGACAATAGAAGTGAAACAAAACTGTAAGATGTAATATATTTTTTGTACATTCTAACCTGTCATTTTGTCCAGCAAAATAATGTTTCAGTTTTTAATGTCCACACCATGTTCCCTCTCTAGGTGCTGAATTTGGAAGGCTTCACTTTACAATGGGTAAATCAGTGCTAAGATGTTGCGAGTTGCTTTCGTCCATTTAGGTAAACAAAGTAAGTTATAGTATGGATTTGATTAAGGTTGATTGTCTGCCAGCATATATGATCAGATGAGACCCAACTATCTGCGAACAGCTTAGACAATTCATCTGAGGACAAACCATATGGCATGGAGATCTCACTATACCTTGTACAGCACAGGAAATTTTGGAAATGTAAAATACAAGAAACAGTGGGATGACCAGCAACTGTTGACGTGAGAACCATTGAATGTCTTCTTCAACTGCAGCTTTAATGTCCCTAACCGTATGGAATCTTGTGAACTGATAAAGGCAGTCAATATCCAATCGACCTTTGGGTGTTTCCATGTACTTCCACTGGTGGTAATCTGGTTATTTATTGCTCTTCTCCACTGTTCAAGTTGACTCTTGCCAGGAAGAGATGTCACATTGTAAGGATTCAGGGCTTCTTGATGATTTGGGTAGCATCGCACTTGATCAACCTGGCAATTGTCAACTTTGGGGAGTAAAGACTCATAAGCCAACCCCCTACTGAATATACTTAAATCAGATGACTGCAGCTTTTTTGTATTTCTTTTGAGGAAAGTTACCTGTACATAGCATTAATCTCCTGTTATGATTTTGTAATAAAATGTATTTCTCTACACAACAATGTGTGCTGAGTGATTGTTCATATTTGTAAGTTTTATATATTTTGATTTATAGCTGGCTGTATAATTCATTTCAACCTAGTTTCAAAATAATGATGCGATAAAAAGGCTTGTTGTGAAGTTGTAGTTCAACTTTGCGGGGTAAATTCTGAAATTTTTGCTTATAGACTAATTTACCTCAGAAATTTCAAACGCGAATTTTATCCAAAATTGCGCAGCCTATATCTACGTTGCACACGACATACTTTCCAGTCAGGGACTCTCTGATAAATCAAATGATATAGCAAACACATATCGGTTTGTTTTTTGAATGTTAGTTCAAAGACCACCATTTATCATCTTCGTGTAATAAAAGTTAATGGCCAACAAAGTTTTAATTAGAGCCATAGAAATAGACCAAAAAATTTTAAAATTGAATTTATTGTAACGTTTCGTTAAAGTAAAGTTAATACTAGCACAAGCTAAGTTGGATGAAGAACTTCAAAATTGAAGTTAGTGTGATATCAAAAAACGATGACAGACAAAGTGAAATGTTATTCTGAATAAATTTAATATAGTTCATCAAAAATTTTGTTTGAACAATTAAAATGTAGTTGTTTTTCATCTTCGGTTATATTAACATCTAAAAAATAAAATATAAGTAATCTTTACATTTTCTAATTACATTTTTTTTTCTTTTTTTTCTTCTTTCTTTTGTTTTTCTTTAGTTCATTTAATTTCATGTCGTGTTCCAATTGTCTTTGTCTTGATTTGGTGACTTCTTCAAATTTAATACTTCTTTTTCAATCAAGTCTATCATTTCATCGCAAACTTCTTTCGTTATGTCGCTGTATATTTTAATTTTTTTCTATTCTGTTGTTTAATTTTTGCTTGACGTCTTCTCTATCGTAATATTCATTCTTTTTGGCATTTTCCCATTTTTCTTTGTTTGCTTTCACCGTTTGTTTCTCACTGCTTTCGCAATAAGTGTATGGTTGCAAGTGAAGTAGATGAAATAAATGCTTGAATTTTTTAGATCAAATTTTTTCCGCAAATATAACCTTGTGACCCTACAAACATACTGTTTTTGCGTTTACTTGTTTCACATATGTTAAAACTTGCGATATGTGTCATAACACAAACCGCATTGAGTATTCAATACATTAAAGTGGTGAAAAAAAATTTTGCATCTAGATTTTATAATAAAACTTATATTTTCGATTTTGTTGAAGTTAGTAGTATCAGATTCCATCATCACCCATAAGATAATTGAAGGTAATTGTTTAATAGATGTGATGACAGCAAATGGATTTTGTTTGAGTTATTATTAGTGTTGTCTAAAATTTACACATTTCTGTTTTGAATATATTTGTAAAAAAAATGTTTCTATATATTAAAACTTGCGGTTTTTTGTCACAACACTAGGGTGGCCCGTATGTGCAATACACGAATAAATATATGAGCACACTAACTAAAGTTGAAATGCATAAATAAATTTTTCAGTACAAAATTCAAAATATATTCTCGCATAAAGAAGTTTAAATGCACGAGAAAATTGGAAAATACACAAGTAAATATTTCTCAATATACCAACTCCTTTTATATAAACATTAACATAAATACTTTATGCACAAATATATTGTTCTCAATACACAACAAAATGTTGCATCTGTGAACATCAACGATCATAAGGGAACACTTTACGAATAGTCCTGTTACTGCCATTTATCCACGATTGCAAAACGAAGAAACTACTTAGATTAATTACAGTTACAGCGTATAATGCAGCGTTTTCGAGCGCATTTTATTTTGGAAAATGAATAGTCAGAGTCGCGCTGAAAATCCACCTTGCGAAGAGATTATAGAGCGTTACTTTAAACAAGGCTTTGATTACCAAAAGATACTTTGTTTTTTGTCTCAATACCATGGCATCAGAATTTCTTTGAGAACCTTAACTACAAAACTTCACTATCTTGGGCTTAAACGAAAGAACATTGACTATAACTTAAATAATGTTAAAACTCGTATCCAGCAAGAGCTTGACGGTCCCGGTTGTTCTGGCGGTTACCGTGTGGTTTGGCATACATTGCGAATTGAAGGTATGCAGGTTCCACGAGATGTCGTTAGAGTTATCCTAAAGGAACTTGATCCTCAAGGTATACAACAAAGAAAGTCCAAAACTCATCATCGTCGAATTTATCACACCCCAGGCCCAAACTATACATGGCACGTGGATGGATATGATAAGTTAAAACCTTATGGTTTTCCAGTTCATGGGTGCATTGATGGCTACAGTGGCAAGGCACAGTTTCTACCCCCTAAATTTAGGGGGGTTCTTGGAATTTTCAAAAATGCCTTCTAGGGTGGGTCGAAAAAATTTTGAATTTCTAGGGTGGGTTATAAACTAGGGGTGGGTATGTCTATGTAGGGGTGGGTTCTGAGATTTTCCCTATTAGAAAAATTAAAAAATAGATGAAATGCATCTATGATAAAAAAAGTTAATAACTTCAAAGTTCAACATCACTCAATTTTGCCCCCATGTCATCTATCTTCATATTACCCTATAAAGGACCAAAAATATCTCCCTAATTTGACACCATGTTATTGCATCAGCCATTGATTGCATCAGCCATTAATTGCATAAGCCATTGATTGCATCAGTCAATTCCCTGTCTCAAAATCATGAACCTTGATCATAGTTAGTGACATGTTGGTTGTTGGGTGAGTGGGTGTCTATCTCTGTGTGATTAATAACCGTTATAATTTGGTCTGTTTTTGTATTAGTTTGTTTAGTTCAGTAATTTTAAAGGTGTTACTATTTACAGATAAGTAGTACTAGTACATAGGTAATTCAACACTTGCATTAAATGCCATCAACCTCTTCAAAGAAGTGTGCGAACGTAACTGGTTACACTCCTGATGTTGTCGAAGCTCCTTAAAGCTCAGAGGTCGATCCTGTCAAAGGAAACTGGAGACGGAACAGAATTATCGAGGATCTGGAGTTTTACAACTGCAATGTGGTGTGGAGAGCCAATGGCGAGGCCAATGATCTATCTGGTGAAACAATCCCCGATTATGTTGTGAAACTTGCTGTTCCAAAAGGGATGCAGGGGCTTATTGAGAAGCTGCAATCATTGCATGGCAGGAATGCACACTCTCTTCCTACTGCAGTTAAAGATCATTTTCTTGTCGCTTCAAAGGAAAGATTGGAGCAGATTGGTGGGTTGAAGATCACATGCACATTTTCAGGTAAGCTTTTGCTTGTTTTCTAATCCAATCAGTTCCAGCGAAAGTCATTTAATTAAGCATTTGAAGTACGTGGACCAAATGCAATGAGCGACCCATTTTTTCAGCTGATCTTCGGACGAAGGACTTTACTTGTATTGTCATATTTGTGAAGAAGTAGAGCTCCCCAAAATTTGGAAAGTTCACAGTGACAAACTACCAGAAGAAATATCAATCAAAGTACAAGAGAAAAGTTCCCATGGCAGATTTCTTTGCAAAACGAGGTATATCCATCAGTTACTTTCTTGAAAGTGCTTATATAGGATTTAATAAGCATAAATGACATCTCCTAACCTAAAATTTGTTTAAGGTCCCAGTGGCAATAAAGCCAAAGAAAGTCCGAGCACACCAAACACAACATCCAACCCTAGTACACTAGTAAACCAAGACGAAGATGAAGTTCTGGTTGTCAGTTCTGAATCAATGCGAAACAAAGCCAAAGGAAAAACTCAATCTGACATTGGACAGCATATTGACCCTACTATTCGAATTAATCATGAACCAAGTAAGTGGTGAGCTTAAGATGTGTATTTGTGCAGTGATTCCAAATAGATAACATATGAAATATCTGAGATGATTATTTCTTGACTTGTCCATAATTTCTTTTCAGCTAATCAAAGTCAAAATGGGCTTTAGGAAGCGCCTACCGTATGGTTCATAGACATGCCAACAAAGCTATCTCATTCTTGACAGCATGTGAAATATACCAAGATGGAATGCAGATGTGCAGGGAGTTTGCACAAGTTCAGAGAGATAAGGGGAACAAAGTTGACATCCCTCCGAAAGTATCTTTGAACAAGGACAATATACCTGATGTGCAAAGAATATTGTATGAGGTTTGTGATTTTAAATTTTCTTGATATATGTGACTAAACCCAGGGGAGTGTGTCGAAATCACCTTAAAGAATTGAAAGATCAAATTTAATGTTTTCCATTGTTACAGAATTACCGATTTGTCAATCAAAACAGCGACAATCCTTACCGTATGCTAGAAAACTGTGACACATGGTCGATCCTACATGATGCTACCACTCAGTATGTCAAAAACTTGAATACAATGTTCATCAGGGGTGTCCGAGATGATGATATGTTGGTCTTCAAGGTCAGTGTACAATACAAAATAATGATGCCAAGACGACCTGAATATGGCGGAGGGCAAGAATTTCTCTTATTAATTTGAACTTGATATTTCATAGAAATGATTCATCATTCTTCTTTTGTACAAGGTCCCTTTCTCTATGCGGAAGGTGGTGGAAGGCTCGTTGAATCATGACAACCTTTCTGATGA